CATATGCGCATATCTAAATGAAATAGAATGTTATTATAAAAAATAGAAACAAGGTATTGAAAACAACAAGTTACTAATAACAAATAACAAGTCATTTTTTTAAATATTTTATGAAAAATATGAGTAAAAATAAATAAACAAAGATAAATAAATATAAATGATATTCATGGCTGAATTATGGCATGCAAATAAAATAAGTCTTCAACTGTTTTTTTTTTAAAATGCCAATAAATTTTAGAAACATTTAAAAGCAGTTATCCATAATACAAAAAGCTAAATAACAGTGTGTTAAACGAAATTTAAAGAAAAATAGATGCAAGATATCGAGAAAACAATCACGTTACTAATAACAAATTATTTTTAAAAACACTAGGTGAATATTTAATAAAAGTTCTTGTAACTAAATTATGAAACACAAAAGATATTTTACAATTATAAAATAAAATACATTTTAAGCCGTTTCTTAAAACGTCTTGGGTTTTGAATAACATTTAAAAGCATAATCCAACATTAACCGTTAGTTAATTGAAAAACAAGAAAATAGGAACAAGATTAAAACAGAAAACCAACAGCAAGTTACAAACAATAAATAATATAGATAAATATCAGGGGATATTAAATAGAAATAATGTTTATGACTAAATTATGACATAGAAATAAAAAACGTTTCAAGCTGTTTTTAAAAACGTCACAGTTAGTTAGAGATCTTAGATGTGGTAGCATATGTCTCAGACGTTTAAGACGAAGAAAAAAAATGACGGGCACCAACATTGTTCATTTTTGAGATAGCTTTAATCCAAAACTCGTCTTTTGATCTCGTCTATAGAGAGGTGTTCTGTATTCAACCAATTTATATATTTGACCGAATGACTGAACGTTTATAAAGAACCAATGCAACATTTCTAAACGAGAGACGCAAGACATTTATAATACTCAAAAGTATCAACATGAAACCAGGTGGGTTCAACGGAAGCCTGGAGGAACAAGAGAGGATTTGTTTGTTTTGCTGAATTTAACATTGCTGCTACGTGAACTGAACTTGCAGCGAACAACTTTGCTCCAATGTTCATTCGAACAAAAATTGTACCAACACTGCCGATATTCCGATTGCACCTGAGTGATTTACATTTTTAAATTAATAAATCGTAGTAGGAATAAAATATTTTGATTCAAATAACAAATGCCTGGACCGATATATTAAGTGGAAACTCAAATGATTTAAATTTCGTGTCAAAATATGGGCAGTAATGTTTTTGGTTCTTATTTTAAGGAAGAAATGTTATCAATTTTAATGAAATGCAAAGGAAGGAATCAAATAAATTGAAGAAAAGAAATATAAAAGAAAATTTGCTTGAATGACCCTTCAAAGGTGTAGTGTATGTTATTATTATTATTATTATTATTAACGGGGTTTAAAGTGGTTCAGAAGATTATGGTCTGTGTAAGAACCACTACTAATTAGATCTCCTAATATCCTATCTGTCCGAGTTTGGCTTTGAAGCTGTTGAGTGAATTCGCAGACTGCATCATCGCTTAGCTCGTTCCAGGCGTTGACCACTCTACTGCTGAAAAATCTGCTCTTTATTTTTCCATCCGAGTTTTTGAAAATCTTAATCTGTGTCCTCGTAGTTTATCACTGTTTACTAGCCTGAAAAATCTCGAGTATGGTGTTGTTTCCCTGTTCGTGATCAATTTATATGTTTGGATTAGATCTCCTCTACATCTTCTTTTTTCCAATGATGTCAAGTCGCATTTTTTCAATCTCTCACCATATTCCATTTTTCCGATTCCTCTAATCATTCTTGTGGCTCTACGTTGTACTTTTTCTAAAACTTCCTTATCTTTTTGCATATATGGGCTCCATGCTTGAACACAGTACTCCAGATGAGGTCTGACTAGGGTTTTGTACAGTTTCAGTTTGATATGCTTCTCTCTGCTGACCATTGTTCTTCTTATAAATCCCAAGATCGTATTGGCTCTGGCCGCTGCAGCTGTACATTGTCTTGACGGTTTTGTGCTTTGATGAACAATGATTCCTAGATCCTTTTCTTCCTCTGTCGATCGTAGTTCTCTTTCACCAATTTTATATTCATATCTAGCGTTCTTCCTTCCTAAGTGCATGACTGCACATTTGTCAACGTTGAAAAGCATTTGCCAGTCCTTGGACCATTAGTACAGTCTTGCTAGGTTTTTTTTTTCTGCATCTTCATCGTTGTTGACTTTCACACATAATTTGGTATCATCTGCAAACTTTGAAATCTTAGAGACTATGTCTTCGTCGATGTCGTTAATGTATATCACAAATAATAGCGGTCCCAATACCGATCCCTGAGGCACGCCACTTGTTACGTTTATCCACTTCGAGTTTATTCCTTTTATCCGCATCTGTTGTCTCCTATCTTTTAGCCAATTTTTTATCCATTGTAGTAGATTTCCTTCTACCCCACATGCCTGTAACTTTTTGGATAACCTTTTATGTGGCACTTTATCGAATGCTTTTGCAAAATCTAAATATATTACGTCTACCGAGTTATCCTGGTCTAGGTTAGCATAAACATCTTTAAAAAATTCCAATAGGTTAGATAGACAGGATCGTCCTTTCATAAAACCATGTTGGCTGTCATTGATTATGCAGTTAGAATTTAAATGCTCGACTATATTTTTCTTGATAATTTTTTCTAATACTTTACATATAATGCAAGTTAAACTAACTGGTCTGTAGTTACTAGTTTAGCTTCTACGTCCTTTTTTGAACAATGGCGTGACGATAGCGTCCCTCCAATTCCTTGGTATATCTCCTGATCTTAAAGAGTCATTAAATATTTTGCACAGTGTGGCTCCTACTTCATGTCTTATTTCCTTTAAAAATTTTGGGTGCAGCTCATCTTTTCCTGGAGTTTTTTTCTCTTGGAGACTGCCTAGTATTTCGACAACCATCTCTTCTGTTATGTAAACACTTGTAAGCATCCTTTCTTGGTTTCCCCCAAACAATTTTTTTGGCTCCTTTATGTTATTTGTATTTTTTTTTTGTCAGCACCGATCCAAAATAGTTATTGAGCATCTCAGCCATTTCTTTTTCTTCCGTTACAATGTTGCCATGATCAGTCTTCAGAGGCCCCACTTTAACTTTCCTTTTTTGTTTACTTCTCATGTAACTGAAAAAGCTTTTACTGTCTTTACTTATGTTCTCACTTAGTTTTTCTTCATATTCTCTTATTGCTTTCCTGTTTGTTGCCTTTGCTAGATTTCTCTTTCTGATGTATTTATCCCTTGCTGCTTCTAACTCACTTTTTGAGATATCTTTAGCATTTTTGAGATATCTCTGTCTTACTCCTGCATCTTCTTCCATGCTTTTATTTATCCACGGTAGCTTTTTGTTGCTTTTCCGGATAGTCGGTATAGTTTCTTCAACAACTTTATTCATACAGGACTCAAAGGTTTTCAATTTATTTTGCACTCCCAAATCTTTCAATCGCTCTGCCAAGTTTATCTCTATGATTTTATTTCTGACCTTGTCGTAGTTTGCTTTGAAATAATTGTAGCGCTTTGAATAAGCCTCGTCTTCTTTTTTCTGCTCTAACACAATGTTGAATCTAAGTATCCTAAGATCGATCGTTCCAAATTCTTCTCCTACTCTAACTTCTTCTATTATGTTCTCTTCTGTTGATATTATTAAATCTAATATATTTTCTCCCCTTGTTAGCTCCATCACATGCTGAGTAAGGAAGTTTTCGTCTGTGCAGTCCAGAAACAGTTCGTCCGCCAGCTTTTTGCCTTCTCTATGATTCCAGTCAATATGGTGGTTAAAGTCTCCCATTATTACGCAAGGCACTTTTGTGGCATTTCTGATCAGTTTACGTAATCCGCTGTCATTCTCTTTTGTTGAATCTGGTACTCTGTAGCATACTCCTACACGCACTGTTTCAGTTTCGTTCTTTATATCACACCAAACAATTTCTTTAAATTTGTCGTTTTTTATGTCTTTTCTTTCCAGTGCGGTCAGTTTTTCGTTTATGTACAATAACACTCCGCCGCCCTGTCCTGTCTTTTCTAAACATTACGTATCCGTTCAGTTCTATCTCACTATCTTGAATCGATTCTTTCGCCCATGATTCAGTTATACCTATGATATCGGGTTGTTCATTCTCTATATATAACTCCAGTTCTGTTCTTTTATCAATATTTGCAATACTTCTTGTATTTACACAGAAACATTTTAATATTTCAGGTTTGTTTTTTTTCTTTTTTATTGTTGCTTTCTCTGCGTTGTTACCTGTTGTATTTAATATTTCTTCAGCTTTACAATTCTCATGTCTCTTGGTAGACCTTTCACCTTGAAAATAAATTCCCCCGATGTTTCTTTGCTTTGTCTAATTTTTGACTCCTTCACTAGCTCTCGGCATTGGTCTCTTTCTGTTTTTGTCATATCGTGCGTCACCGATATCCTTCTAAATTTTTCATCCGCATTTCGGAGTTTTGTCAAATTTTTTAAAACTCTAGTTTTCAGTGTTCCGTCAAGAAATTCTATCAAAAGAGGTCTTCCATTTTCTCCTTCTTTGATTTTTCCAAGTCTAAACACACTTTTTATATCCGTATTCTCGCACGGAACCTTTAACACTTCATTAAAAAGAAACATAACAGATTTTCTGTCAGCCGTATTTTTCTCTTTTGCTTCTGACGCGTTGTTTTCTGCCAATTTATGGATGACGATGTTATTTCTTTTGCGTTCTTTTCGTTTTCCTTCTTCTGCATTTAGTTCCACTTTCTCTTCGACACTTTTGACTTTTTCTTGCACAACTTTCAACTCTTTGTCCACATTCTTTCTGACAACTGTGGTCCATGTTTTTTTGTTGGCTTCAATCGTTTTCTTGATATTTTTTTCATCTGTTTTTTTATTTTTTGCAGTTTCTCTTCAATTTTGTCTAGACGTGATTTCTGTTCTTTAAACTGCTCTTTCACAACTTCATTTTCGCTTGTTGATTTTTTATTGTTTAGCAGCTCTACAAGCTGTTGTTCGAGTTGAGCGATTTTATGATGCTGTTCATTATATATGTTAACATTAAAAAACCAACCTTCTTGTTTAGGAGGCAGTGGAAGAGGAAGATGAGGAAGCCCTGCAAAGTGTTGAGGATGGTGAAGAGGTAGACCATAGTGATTGAGGATTGATTGATGTTGAAGACGCCCAACAGCCAGGTTGAACCCAGAATCACCATGAGCACCAGAGCCGACTTTATCCAAGAACTAATTATGGTGAAGGAAGTGGAACAAAATTAATTTATTAACTTATTTCATTTGTGTCAAAAAAATTTCTTAGTTCTCAAGTTCTTTTCTTCAAAAGCGTTCGAACAATAAACAGACGGACAAACGGTCAAATGAACGAATGAATGAATGAATGAATGAAAGAGTGAGTGAGTGAGTGAGTGAGTGAGTGAGTGAGTGAGTGAGTGAGTGAGTGAGTGAGTGAGTGAGTGAGTGAGTGAGTGAGTGAGTGAGTGAGTGAGTGAGTGAGTGAGTGAGTGAAAGAGTGAATGAGTGAAAGAGTGAATGAGTGAATGAATGAATGAATGAATGAATGAATGAATGAATGAATGAATGAATGAATGAATGAATGAATGAATGAATGAATGAATGAATGAATGAATGAATGAATGAATGAATGAATGAATGAATGAATGAATGAATGAATGAATGAATGAATGAATGAATGAATGAATGAATGAATTGATCTTTGTTAAATGTTCACATAACAAGCATAAAAAACAAACAATCTTAAATTGAATGAATACACACAAATGTTTGTAAGCAAAAGTAAGACAAAGAAAAACACTGACGCAAAATTTGTGAGCACGTTATTGTCGGTTGAGGCCTTTGGAGTGTTGAGTTTCAGCCTGCACATGGTCCCTATCGTCACGAATAGGACCACCGAGTTGACCTGATGACAACCAGTGTGCGTGGGTTGCATAAAATAATTTTAAGAATTTTATTACATTTATTCAGTTAATTATTCAGTTAGTTAATTTAAAATCTGGAAAAATTGCTCAATGCCGACTGAATGGAACTATAGCATGACAGTTCCGCTATACTAAGGCAAAGGTGATCTATTGAACTGATCATCATATCGGGGTATACGTCTGTTAGAACACTCCCTGAAAATTGCCTAGAAAATCATTGAGGGAAGATTAACGTCGTGCATCACAATCGGAAATTATCAATTTGGTATCCTAGCGGGGAAATCAACAATTGATGCAATTCACATCCTTCGGCAACTGCAAGAGAAGTACCTCGCAAAGCATAACAACTATCACACATTTTTATAGACCTTGAAAAAGCATTTGACCGTGAAGTAATCAGAGTCTACGTCGACAACTCATTCAAGAATATCTTGTTCGACTTGTGATGGAAATGTATACGAATACTAAGATTCTTGTCAGCACAACAGTTGGAAACAAAGATGCATTTGACATCGGCGTTGGAGTTCACCAAGGCTCGATTCTCAGTCCACTGTTATTTATAACTGTGATGGAAGAAATCACAAAACCGATACGCACTGGTGACATTTGTAATCTAATATATGTTGATGATATCGTTTTAACTGCCACGTCTGAGCAGAATGCAGCACAGATGTTTGAAGATTGGAACACCAGACTCGCCGATCATGGATTCAAAGTTAACATCAGCAAAACCAAAGCAATGAACACTGGTGAACCCACCCAATCCACAGCTACTGGACGATGGCCCTGTTCAGTTTGTAAAGCTGGTGTAGGTAACAATTTAATCAAGTGTCACCAGTGTAACCAGTAGTGTCACAAACGTTGTTCAAAAATAATTAGTACTTTATCTAAAGTGTCAAATTTTGTTTGTCCTGCTTGCATCAATCCACAACAACAAATTCGAAATAGCAATGTTTTTGAAGCCATTAGGGTAGAGAAAGTCACATCGTTTCAATATCTAGGAGATGTTCTGGATTGTACTGGAACAGCTGAAGCTGCCGTTTGAGCACGCATACGTGCAGCCTGGAATAAATGGCATCTCCTTGCCTCTCTATTGATGCGGCGTAGCATCCCACTACCACTACAATGAAGACTTTATAAATTTGTGATACGTCCGGTGTTGTTATATGGTGCAGAAACATTGCCAATAACAACCAAACTGGAACAACAACTTCAACGAACCGACATGAAAATGCTCCGATGGATGCAACGAATTAGTCTGAAGGACCACATCAAATCTACCAAAATCCTGCATCGTGCTGGTTTAGATAATATAAAGTACGAATGCCGGCAACACCATCTGCGGTGGTTTGGTCATGTCAAACGAAGTGGAAACAGTGCCATAACTTCTCTTACAGATGTTGAAGTACCTGGCACACGTTCCAAAGGCCGTCCAAAAAAGTCCTGGTCGCAAACAATCGAGCAAGACATTAAAGCTCTAAATTTAAATGAAATGGATACAATTGATCGTCTAATTTGGCGCAAAAAGTTGATGGCAAAAAAAACAACGTCCTACCTCGGGAAACCGGGACTCTGGACGCAAAACGAAGATTGATTGATTCAGTTAATTAATCACATCTTATTATCTGATTGATTATACAAATTGAATGAAAAGCACCAACCGTTAAGATGGAGATGACAGGTGCCAGGAAGACCCAGGAGAAGCCATGCTCCGTGGACAGCCAGCAACTGTGGTGGTGGTGGTGGTATGAAAGATAGAGAAGGTGATGATGAAAATGAAAAAGAAGTGGATGCAAAGATGAAGATGATGGTGAAAGTGAGAGGAAAACTGAGAACGATGGTTATTGGAGTAAAAAGGATGAAGATGATTCTGATAGGTGATGTAAGTGATGACGAGAATGGTGAGAGCACCGTTAGTAGCTATCATAAAAGAACACATCAACTAGAACATTAACAACAAAAACAACAATATCAACAAAAAACATACTGATCTTCAGTTCCATATCCTTCGATGTTGACAGACATGCTGATGATGACGATGATGGCTGGTACAGCTATATTTTGATGATGATGATGATATGACGTTAAATGGAAAACATAAATAATGATGATGATGATGCCAAATTAAACTTTCACACCGACAAAAATAAATTAACAACGTCAATGAAGATATAAAACAAGGATAGCGATGATGGCGATGATGAAATAATTCGCCTAATTGTCTTGCTATGACTGTCAAATCTATCAAAAGGTACGGAAGAGCCAATCCATAGAGTTAAATACTATCATTATGGGCGATGCTGAATGCACCAAAGACATCAGAGCACGACTTAGCAAAGCACAAGGGGTTACAGCCAGTCTACATAGGATATGGATGAGCCACTCCATAGCAGTAGATATTAAAATTCGCATGCTGCACACTACGGTTCGGAAGGTTGGACATTGAAAAAGAAAAGTGAAAAAAGAAGGAAGCATTTGAAATGAAAGTTTCAAGAAAAATACTGGGGGTGTTATGGAAAGACATAATAACGAAGGTATGGTTTCTGAAAACGACTGGAGTACAGCGAAAATTATTGCCTGAAATAAAAAAAAGAAAATTAAGCTACATTGATCACATCTTCAGGAAACACCAATGCCTGGAAAAAGATTTAAGACAAGGAACGCTGCAAAAGTCGAGATGAGCGTGTTAATTTTAATTTTGAAAATAGTCAAGAAATGTCTTCCAGTTGATAATTTTACTAGCCTAAGGGTGATTTTTGTACTGTCTAGATTAGACTATTGCAATTCGTTGCTGTATGGTGCTGGTGTAGGGGTAGTAAATAAAGTTCAACAAATCCAGAATGCTGCCGCCAGATTGGTCATTGGTCTAAGCAGACGTGATCACATTAGAAAGTGGTTGGAAAGTCCCCACTGGCTACCGATCAGGAAACGGATGAGATGACTGTGGTGGCTTATGGTTGCGTAAATGGTGGTGGTCCAGAATATCTGAAGGAGGTTTTTCGCAAAAGAACTGAAGTTGATATGGAACATGCATTGCGTTCGGTTTCGTCAGAAATGATGATAATTCCTAGGATCAGGACAAAACTGGGTGACAGATGTGTGCAGGTTGCTCTGCCCAAGGTATGGAATGATCTTCCAAGAAGATTGAAGCAAAGTGTTCCATAAAAAGATTTCAGAAGAGAGTTAAAAAGTTATTTGTTCAACAAAGCCTTTAATCACAGTACTATCCTCTGAGGAATGTCAATAGAGTGAATAACATAATAATAATAATAATAATAATCATAATCATAATCATAATAATCCTAATAATAATAATAATTTGTTAAATGTTATTATTCAGAATGCTTTCAACGCTTGTTTGTATAAAATATATATATAATAATTACTCAATCAATCTTTATGACTACCTAACACATGTTTGAATTATATTCAGTTTTTTTTTAAAAACTCATTAAAACTATATTGACTGTTAATTTTTTCAATTTTCAACAAAATTATTATTTTGTTATAACTGCATTTTATTATTAAAATGCAGTTATTATTATTATTATTCATTCATTATTTTAATAATTTGCTAATGCATTATCAAACCATTCAATTAATCATTCAACAATCTAATCAATCAACCAGCTAACCAGGTAACCGGTCAGCCAGCTAACTGATTAATCAACCAGTCATTTTTTAAAAAAACCAACTATCCACCAACCAACTATAAAACCAAATCCAGCTATTTAGTTATTTAACCAATCAGCTAACCAATATGGTAATCAACTAATCAATTAGCCAATCAACTAGTTATCAACCAGCAATTGAATCAATCAACCAACAATCTAACCAATCAACCAAACACAAAATCAATCAACCAGCTATCAAATCAAACAACCAGCCACAAAATCAACCAGCCAGCCAACTCAGCGGACCACCAACGAACCGTACGAGAGAGCACAGTAGTACTTGAGGTGAGATGTAGCACCATTGAAGACGACGACGACGAGGATGTAGAGGTGGACGCCTTCCATGCACATCCAGCAGAATGAGGTCAGGAAGAAGTAGTGAAGCAAGATGGATATCACGCTGCAGAGTGTCTGGTGTATGGTTGGCTTGTTTGTCAGTTTGTATGTGTTTTGTGTGTGTGTGTATATCTGTGTGGCTGTCTGTCTGTCTGTATGTTTCTTTGTCTGCTACACAACTATGTACAATTACAATATATACAGCAACGACCACATAAAGCCACATAAAGGAGCAACTCACAGGCATGCACTGTTGATTGATTCCGAGACAGAAGATCAACTCAGCTACGAAAAGGTTGGCGACTAAGTTTTTGTGGATGCTGTTTCGATCGCATCGCAAGTTCCTGTTGGTCATAGTGCGTTGAAATGTTAGTTCTTACGGTCAGTGTGCTCATCTAATTATGTTCTTAATAGTTTTTTTGTTCTGTTATTAATGCTGGCCGATAAGTTATTTTTTATCAACTTTTTCAGCCTTGTCAAATTTCAAACCTCAACAGAAATATTTTCTAATTAGAAGGAGTTGTTAGTTGAAATTAGGGTTGCACCGGATTTAAGTTTTCCAAGTCGAAAAAAAGCCGGATTTTGGCCGGGGCCGAACTTCGGTGCATCTCTAATTTAAGTTGGTGAACATTAGGACAAATAGGAAAACACGTAAGATTTCTTCTTCTCACAACATCGAACTCAATTGAAAACAACATGAAGACACAAAACAAGACAGTTGTTACTTGAAGCAGGTGAACGTGACGAATGCAAGCAACATTGAGACGAGACTCAAACAGCAGCCGAAGTAGGTTATGAAGTCCAACTCCTTCGTCTTGTAATTTATCCCCTGCTTGTTTCAACATCATTGTATCAGTGATCATCATCATTCATTTCATAACCAAATCGTTCAATTATGTAATTAATTATTAACATCGCGACCTTCGAAGCATTAATCATTAATTAATTGTTGATTCATTTATTCATTCACCCATTCAATTATTAATTAATTAAATATATCACAACACTGAACGGGCTACTGTGTATATTTGAGGCAGATTATTATTTTAATTAATTGCCATCAGTAATTACTTCTTTAACGAAGGTAAAATTTACGTACAGCAATTAGCTAGAACAATTACGCCAACATGTTATTATAGATTAATCATTGCCATTACTAAATAATTAAAAACTCCTTCGCGGTTAATTTTACAACAACAATGTCTATAATAATGTTAACAATAGTAATAAAGATGATGATGGTGATAATGATAATGATGATGATGATGATGATGATGATGATGATGATGATGATGATGATCATAACAATAATAATAACAATAATATTGATGATGATGATCACTTTTTTTTAAACAAGTTTATTTCATGAAAACACATGAAAAAAGATTCCAAAAGAAACCAAAATTCCAAATAACAAGGAACCCCACAAAAAATAATAAAACACATTAATGTTGTCAAACGTCAGTATCAATTTTTAAAAACTAATTAGTATTGTTTCAAAATTTTAGAATTAAAAAACATATGCATAAAAATTAAACTTGTTGCAACGAGAAAGAACAAATTTTATCACGAAAAGAAAGAAATTCAAATAAAACGAATTAAATAAATTAGAATTACCTTAAATATAAAACCAAAATATAAAACCAAAATATAATATCAAAGAAATGCGTATAAACAAGAAAAAACAAAACAATATTGTTACAAAACAATACAAACAATATAAATAAAATTAATTAAGATAAACATAAAAGAAAATTTTTTAATTTATCTTTAAATAGTCGTTAAACAGTACAAGTTCTTATAAAATTTGGTAGCCTGTTCCATTTATATACCCCATAAAAACATATATTTCTATTGAGTAGTTTGGTTTTAACAATAGATTCTTTCAATTTTTTTTCAAAATTTGAACTCGGTGGTCTTGCCTTGATTTTATATTTAAATGAATCATGTAGGTAATTGTCTGATGGTCTTATAGCACTATTAAGAAATCAAAAAATAAAACAACAGCATTTAAGATAATTTATTTCAAATATCGATAGAATCTTAAGTTTATTGAAAAGGTCTTTTTTATCTATATCGTTTTTAAAATTTATAATTTTTAGTGCTTTTTTTTGGGCATTAAATAAAATTTCTAAATACGTCTTGAAAGTGTTACCCTATATTAGATTTCCATAGTATAAAAGCGTGATACATTAAAATTAAAATTTTTTTTGGTAGAATATATTTTAGTCTGTTCATTATTCCCAAATTTCTATTTATTATTTGCAGGATGAAATCAATATGTTTTTTAAAAATTAATTTCCGATCTATTATAATTCCCAGTAATTTAAAATCTTCAACTCTGTCAATTATACTGTCACCTATCTTTAAAACAAATTCTTCATCGTTACAGTTCAATCTTTTAAAAATCATATACTTGGTTTTTGTAATATTTATATTAATTTTATTATAAATAGACCATGTGTGCAATTTATCTAAACAATTATTTGTACAAACATTCAAATTATTTATATCCCTAGAAGTAGTGACCATTGTAGTGTCGTCTGCATAAACAATGAAATTAGAGATTTCGGTTGTATTGACGATATCATTGATAAACAGGATAAATAATTTTGGACCTAGAATACTCCCCTGTGGCACACCACTTACCACCCGACAAGTATCTATTACAGTGGTTTATTGAAACGTATTGAAATCTATTTGCGAGGTAACTACTGAACCACTTCAGAGCATGTCCTCTGATTCCGTAATGTTCCAATTTAAGCAACAGTATATGATGTGGAACGGAATCAAACGCTTTTGAGAAATCTAAAAACACAGTCGAAATAACATGACCAGCATCATATTTAAAAACAATTTCATTAAAACGCCTTATGAGTGCATCTTCAGTGGAACAATTCTTTCGAAAACCAAATTGATCATTTATTAAAACATTATTGGCACTCATAAATGACTCGAGTCTTATCTCGACAACCTTTTCCAACACCTTTGAGATACAACTTAATATACTAATTGGTCTATAATTATTAACGTTATTGTGTGACCCAGACTTATAAGCAGGAACAACCCTCGCAATCTTAAGACAGTCTGGAAAAATACTTTTGATATCATCACCATAACTCATCATTATTATTATTACTATCTTCTATCTTATGTGTGTAATGACGTCATAATTATTTTATTTATATTGTAACAGGTGCTAATAATCTGTTAGGAGTGTCTGAAATTTCTATCTATATAGAACATTTAAGCAGGATAGAACATAAAAGTTTTTCCCGGTATTCCTATACCATCTTCGGGGGCCAAATGTTCAAATATATGTTTATACTGTGTCTCTACAATGTTAGTTTTTTGTCTCAACAATGTTAGTTTTTTGTCTCTACAATGTTAATAATTTGTGAGAACATGACAATTTTACGGGTTATCATCATCGATGATTCTTCTGTTTCTAAATTTTCTAGTTCTTATTGCTCGTTGTTGATTATTTGTTATCGGATGTTTTTGCTCTATGAGTATTAATTCGGCTAGTCGTAAGTTATAATGGTTGTTATTGTAATGTAAGATTTTAACATTGTGATCCAAGATTTGTCTAGTAATTTTAGTTTTGTATTTCTCTGTCATGTGATTTTTTATAGGGCCAGTCTGTACGTGCATCGTGAGTCTTTTCGATAACTGGGTCGTCGTCACACCGGTCTGAAATTTTTCAATTGCAATTTGTCTTAGTTTGTTTTCTTTCAAATGGGTGATACAATTGTTTATACAGAAGACATTATATACTGCATCTGTCAAGTAAGCTATAAAACAATCTACAATATGAAATCTTTAAATATGTGCGCCTGTGTTGGGTCCAACAAACATGTCTTTAGAATTGAAATGATAATGATAGTGGTTATGATATCACCACCATCATCATTCTCATCAACATTAATATTATCGTCGTCATCATCATTTTGCCATCATTATCATTCTAATCATCATCACTACCACCACCACCATCTTCATCATCATCAGCAGCAGCCCAACCAACTTCGTGAGCGGAGTAAGACATGAGCACGGCAAAGCTGGTGAGATGTTCACAGGAGCAGGTCACGTGGGTCTTGTTGTGGGACATCACGTGACATCCTTCGTTTGACCACTCACTGGAAACAATTATCATCATCATCATAATCATCATCATCATTACAATTTGTCATTTGTGAACAACATCAAGGCTTTTTAAAATCTAATTGATGATTAATCACATCCATCTTTCAATCTATCGTTGGATCAATAGTTCAACTTACTTTTTATTCTTTATTATGCAACTCTCTCAAACGCAGAACTGCTTGTACATGTCATTCTGAAGTTATAATTAAACCTTCGTGCCACACATACACAATGTGAATGCACGAGCAAGCACCGAATCATGCACGCGTGATGGTCTTTGGGTCTCGGGCAGACAGTATTCGAACCGCCGTGCCATCGCGTAATAAAGTCTTTATAACCAATTAAAAACCAACTTCTGATGAGCGCGGAATCTGTTACAACATGCGAAATGGCAATGTTAAAAATGAGGAAAATAAATGAAGGAGGCGGGACGTGAAACTTTTATGAACAAAGCTAACTCGCCGACCAAATTTTTACGACTAAATTCAATGTCGCCAATGTTATGTGCAGAATCCCTTCAAACGTTAACATCATTCTGAGTATCATTGTTGGAAGATTTGTATATTGCTCAATCATCAAATCTTAAAAGAGATGACAAAATGTAAACAAAAACAAACAAAGGCTAAAGAAAACGATTTCAACTCTCTTCTGAGATAGAACTGAATGCCCAGGAGCAGGAAGGCAAACTATTCCACATATATATACGGACCAACAGAAAAATTTCTGGAGCCAGTAACCAGAACCATTTCAAACGTTAACATCATTCATAATCATCATCACAATTATTAACATCAATACCATTATCATTTTCGTCACCATCAATATTATTATCATCATCATTATAATTATTAATTATCATTTTGTCATCATTATTATTCTAATCACCATCATCATTATCATCATCAGAAAACAAACACGAGCACAAAAACCCGCCCAGTTTATTATAATGAATAAAAATTGCTTGCAGGGATGTACCACCTCTCACACCTACTCTCTTTTAATTCTTTTTTAATTTCATTTTTATGGAGTTTCGGTTTTAGAAGTTTTTTTAGAAGTTTTTAGAGACTTAAATAATAATAATAAGTTTTTAGAGACTTTTTCACTCCATTACCATTCATTAAATGGTATTTAGTGATTTATAGTGATTTATAGTGATTTATATCGGATCTTTTTAAAAATGGATAGGAACCAATGCTTATTATTGCGTTCTAAGAAGTTTTGATGAAATTTTGAATGAATTGTTTCTCAGTTTCTTACGTTGACATTTGCCTGTATCGGTGATTAGCAGCTAATTTAATACTGCAGTTCAATTATAATTGTTCTGTCAAAAAAAGAATAGCCTAATTAATAGTTACAAACTTACTTTTGATAACAGTCAACTAAACTTTAAAAAAAATAGTTAAACTTTTCAAACTATTATGCAACCATTTTTGTATAAACTTCTTGACGGAAAAAATTTGAAGCAACCTCAGTATAACAATCCATCGAAGCCATGTCTCCACAAGTGATTACCTTGAAATAAATCTTAGAAATAAATTTTAAAAGCCAAAGTCAAAAACCGTAGCCTACCTGAAAGTTAAGTTCATGTGATTCAGTTTTTTCATTAGCGCACAGTTTAGGATAGTTGAAGAGGATAACGGCGCTAGATGTCTTTTAAATAATTTCAATTTGAAATCTGTTAACAAAACTTAAAACTAAACTTCCTGTGTTAATATTGGGTTTAATTTACTTCTTCGACCACGTGTATACCAGCACACGGAGGCTTAAAAAGTACAACTTCAGGTAATACACTTTAGTGCCTATAATAGACAAATGTAGACAAATAGTCCGAAGTATGTACTGGAAACAACAGATGAACCACAAACTGATGACAGGTTACCTCAAAAACGAAAAATAGGAACAAATAAATAACGAAATATTATTAATACAAAATATAAAACATGAAGATGATGATGATAGATGGATGGATGGATGGATGGATGGATGGACAGACGGACGGACAGGTGGATGGATGGATGGATGGATGGATGGACAGACGGACGGAAGGACGGACGAACGGACCGACGGATGGATGGATGGATGGATGGATGGATGGATGGATGGATGGATGGATGGATGGATGGATGGATGGATGGATGGATGGATGGATGGATGGATGGATGGATGGATGGATGGATGGATGGATGGATGGATGGTTGGACTACCTGGATGGATGCATATCATTGGAAGCACAACTTACACTCTGCCCATCTTCAATCTCCTGTGTGTGTATGTGTGTGTGTGTTTATTTGTCTGTCTATCTGTCTGTCTTTCTCTTGATTTGTTAAAATGATTAATAACGATTGATTGAAAACAAACAAAAAAACAAATCATTGAACAAATAAGATTAAACTCAATGTAACGAATGATGAGTTGAAAATTCGCTGACAAACCTGAGTCAGCCGAAAAGTCATAATAATCGGTTTCAAGAGTTTTGACGTTTTGTTGGCTGATGTGTTCTTTGAAGTTTGGTTGTCGCTGGTTGTTGGGACATTGTTCTTATTGGCTAGGACGGCTGACATGATGTTGCTGTTGAAGTCGAACTGCTCATCTTCATGCAAGTCATTCGTTGGTTGAGCGCACTTGGGATTGTTGTATTTGTTCTTTGAGAGGTTTCGCTGCGTTTTGTCGATTTTTGATGTTTTTGAGATCAAGTCGTTCAACTTGAGCCTCAATTTCTTATAAAATACAACAGCCAGGAACGAGGAACTTCCTGTAATAGGTGTCGATTTGTTTGAAGTTTCACAAATTTTCATTTTGTGTTAGTTTTGAAACGATAATTTCAGGACAATTAATCCAATACGATTACAACAGAATTCGCCCGAACAATGATTTGGGTACATATACATAAACACACAAACACACAGACACAGGCACACAAACCTTCCAGATTTTCTCCATCCAGATAGATTGATGATGAGTTTGTTGGTTGGATGAAAAGATGGGGAGCTTTCGAAAAGTGGCTTATTTTGATATCTGAAGGATGATAATGATGACGATGATGATGACGATGATGATGATGATGACGATGGTGCTAAAGTGATTAAGAAGATGATGATGATGATGACGATAGTGCTAAAGTGATGATGACTATGATGATGACGATGGTGCTAAAGTGATGATGAAGATGACGATGATGATGATCGATGATGATGAATGCTAATAGTATTACAGTGTGTGTGTATCTGTGTGTGTTAACGTGTGTACTACAACTACTGCTGCTACTACTTCTACTACTACTACTACTTTTACTACTACTACTACTATTACTGCTGCGTCTATGAATATCGTTATTTGTTGGTGTTTTTGATGTTAATGCTATTGTTATTTTAGTGCTAACAACAAAAACCACTATTGTAACTGATGAAGACATATCGATATATGCAAACAGGCAAACAATAACACACAAGCATCCATGATAACAACAACATACAAACAATGTGGTGATGGTTCAGTGGTTAAAGGCATCTGGTGCTGCTGTCGCCGTGAGTAACTGGGTTCGAATGCAATATGATCCCCGCCTATCGTGTATGATGTTTAGTTTTTACGCGTATTCATATACGTTGTTGTGTCTCTCTTTGATACTATGTTCGCCAGAGGAAATGATCTTTAACCTTTTAACAACGTACAAACGACAACACACAAATAACAACATACACACAACAACACACAGACAACAACACACAGACACTAACACATGTTTATAGCATCGATGATCGTATCATTGATTGTAGAGCGGCCCAGCAGAGCAACAGCTCGTTCGACGGTTGATAAAAAGAGATTGCTTGAAGTTTGGTTGACAAATGTTTGGCTGCCACTGCTGCTGCTACTGCTGCTGCAGTTTGGCTGGCAATCGAATGGGGAGAGCAAGTTGTCTAGTGTCATCAACAGTTCCTTCAATGAAGTTTCGAATGATTATTTAACAATTTGACTCATTAAACGTTTATTTTTCACTTTTTAATAGTTTTGAAATGTCTGTTCATATATTTTAGAAATTTCGGATCATATACTTCAGAACGTTCAATCGTTTCAAACATTGATATGAACTTAATGTTTTATTTGTCAGAACATTAGCCACCCTCATAAATGTGAAAAATCTTGAAAATTTTCAAAAGAGAAATTTTTTGAACTATCTAGCCACAACGAACTATTTCAGTGAAATAATTTTTGAGTTTTTTGACTCATGGCCCATTTAAAAAAATTATTTCTCCATTTTTAAACTTTATTTTTATAAATTGGCATATTGAAAAAAAACACACATTTGTCTGTATAAAAGAGAAATAAAATGTTAATAAATTGAACATTCATTCATATGAAAACATCAGTAATGTGTATGTATGTGTTTGTGTGTTAGTGTGTTTACGTGTGCAAGTGTGTAAGTGTGTATGTATGTATGTGTGTGTGTGCGCGTTACTCTAATTAACCTTGAATTTACTTTGAATTTACGGAAAGAAACAAAACTCAAACTCGTGTATGAATGTGCCAAAATATGTTAAACCTAGAATCGGCACCGCAGTTAAGTCAGCATAAGTTCCATTTTGATTGTGGATTTGTAAAAAGTTTGCTAGTTATATTTAGTTATTTAGTTAGTTATATTTATGCCTCATGTAACTTGGGCACTGTAAATTGCAAAATGCACATTTTAAATTGACTGCATTTAATTTTTTTTAATTTGTGTGTTGTTGGTGTTTTACTATATTGCGATCATTATTTGCGTAATCAGGCCTTGATTAATAAAAAGTTACAACAACATTTCAGGTAGGTGGGCAGATGATTGTTGTTAAATTACAACGTCTTGTTGTTTTAGCACCATGTACCCCATTAAAGGATCAACCATTCTCATAGAAATAACAATCAACGAGATCGCTATCATTAAGCACAGACGACGATGACTTAAAAAAATTCGTACACTGCAAGAGTAAAACTTTTCATCGTTCT